ACACACACACACACACACACACACACACACACACACATACACACACACACACACACACACACAACCCACGCACGCACGCACGCACGCACGCACACACACACACACATACGCATATACACATAAAGACGCACGTATGCACACGCACACATACGCTTCCAGGCACGCGCCGGCGCGTGTGTGTGCGTGTGCGTATGCTGTGTTTCTATTTGTCTGTCTGTCTGTCTGTCTGTCTTTCTGTCAGTCTCTCTCGCGCTGTTGCGCGCGCATACGCTCTCTACGTTTCTCCGTCTCTTGCTTTCTATCTCCTCTTACTGTATATCTATACCTCTCTCACCCTTCCTTGGCTCTCTCTCTCACTCTCGCTCCATTCCTTGCTCTTCAATGTCTTTGCATAATTTTCGTTATTTTCTTTTTTCCTTTCCGTTCTTCTCTGTCTCGCTGAGAGTCATCTGTTGAGTAATCGCACGCTCGTCGTGTGTTATTGTAATATCTGCTATATGCTCGCGCGAGGGCCGCTCGTGATCAGTTTAACTCTTGCCGCGGCATGGATGGCGCGCGTATTCGACAATGCCATCGGCTTCTGTGCACTTTGTTATGTCACCGCCTCTCCTCTCGGCTGCATAATGTTACCGTGGGCATTCAACAGGCGCCCATTGTTTTCTGCTTATTCCCTGCTCGTGTGTTCCATTGAGTTCTATCGCTTCTCGGATTAGTTCGCTGTCGGATGCTTTGTCCGCGCTAATCCGTCTCCGGTATATATGTTTCGGGCCGGCCATTGTTTCACAGCGGGCGGTCTGCAGCGCGGCGAGCCCAAGCACGATGAATTCTCTGACTCGCCGCTTGACCATTTTAACTTGTTTGCGGATTGGCGGCGCTGGTGACGACGCGTTTCCCAGCTGCCAGCAAAGCGCGTTGCTATTGTTGGCGTGCTCCCCGAACCCGACGCAGCACACTCATAATCAAGCAAAGACAAAGTGCTCAGATGCGTGTATATAATGGGACTGAGCGCTGGCATCTAAAGGCCAATTTGTATCTGAATAAATGTGTAATTTT